GTACACCGTTATACGTTATAGACTGTGATAGACAATTTGCTCCAGGAAAGTTAGAATGAACTTGTGACTTTAAATGAGCATCATTATTCCACAATACTGTGAAATTCCGGAAATTAGGTAATCACTTAATCACAATCAAAAAAAGAACCTCGAGGAAGGTAGGGAGGGAAGGGATGGTAGGGGGAAAACAATGGAGGGGGTAACAATGTTCAAGAGGAAGTGTACTCATTACCTCACTCATGTAACTGTAACCCTCGGTATAGTATCTTTACAATAAAAAAAAACAAAAACCAAAGAGATGAGAGGTGAAGATGAAGGAGCGTCCGCAGGGACCAGGGAGCTGTTCACCGAGGTGTTTGGGGAGGGCGTGGGGTGTGCGGGCTGCTGGGATGCGGCAGGCAGGCGGGCTGTGTTGTGAAAGCAGGGTTTGCCTGTGTGGAATGCCCAGTCTAGCAGCAAATGCACTGCTGGCAAAGGGATCCAAGACACACATGGGTCAGCATGGAGGCAGCGAGATACTGCACAAGAGGACACATGGAGGCCGGAGGGGCTGGCCAGGGCTGGGGACAGTTTGAGTCATGCTCAGAATGGAGATAAACCAAGTGAGGAGATGACACAGGGACATGAGCTCCAGAATAATATCCCTGGATAGGCAAAGGCCCTATGGTACCAGGGAAGTGGTTGCTTCCAGAAGCTTCCAGAAGGCCAGACTGTGTCAGTGCCACGGCCTTCCAGATGCACCAATAGCTTCTTACTCTGTGCCTCAGTTCCTTCATCACTGGGCAGGGACAGGACTAATCTTCACCACTTGTTAAGGACATATAAATTAGAGCCAGGTACTGTGGCTCAGACCTGTAATCCCAGCTACCCAGAAGGTAGAGGTCAGAACGATTGAGGTTTAAGGCCGACCTGGGTAAAAAGCCATTGGGATACTCATTTCAACAAAAAAGCTTGGGGTGGCGGTATGTGCCTGTAATGCCAGCGATGTGGGGGGTGTAGGTAAAAGAGAATCTCTTGGCTAGGCCAGTCGGGCAAAACAACAACAACAACAATAACAACAACAACATGGATAATGTGAGATCTTATCTGAAGAGTAACAAACAAAAAATACATATAAGTTATGTGGCTCAAGTAGCTGTCTAGCAAGCATAACTCCTAGAATTTAAACTCTAAATGATAACAAAGAATGTATAAATTAGACCAATCAGGAATTTTTGGAACACCAGATATATGCTTGGTCCTGAGGACAATGTAGCTAAAAGCCAACTTCTGACCACCTTTAACCTGACTGTGAGAGGCCGGTGGTGGGGGACCCCGAAGCCCTGGACACCATAAGGCCAGGCTGGCATGGTCTAGAGGCTGGCTGAGGCCGGGCTCTTGCTTTCCTCCAGTTTTCCTCTAGATGGCGCAAGGGACCAGGCGGAGCAGGTGCCCCAGTGATGCTGGCCTCACCTGGGCACAGCAGGAGGACACACCTGGATACAGCCAGCACTGAAGAAGGTCCCATGGTCCTAGGCAGATGCTCTGGGCAGGGACTGCTTCTCCCTCTTCCTCTCCCCCACCCCCTCCCCTCCCCTCCCCACCCCTCCCCTCCCCACCCCTCTCATCTCACTCCCCTTTCTCCTCCCTTTTCCTTTCCTCCCTCATTCCCTCCCTCCCTCCCTCCCTCCCTCCCTCCCTCCCTTCCTTCCTTCCTTCCTTCTTTTGTGCTGGCACTGGGGTTTGAACTCAGAGCCTCACACTCTCACTTGGCTTCTTCACTCAAGACTGGCACTCTACCACTTGAGCCACATCACCACTCAGGCTTTTTGCTGGCTAACTGGAGATAAGAGTCTCATAGACTTTCCTGCCCAGGTTGGCTTCGAGCCTCAATCCTCAGACCTCAGCCTCCTGAGTCACTAGGATTACAGGTGTGTGCCATGGCCTGGCCCTTCTCACCGACTTTCCAGTCATCCCCTTGGTCATCTTCTCACCTGTGTCTGAGGCTGCATTCCCTGGGTTTTGTATCTGCCTGGGCAGGAATGTCTGTGAGACTCTCATCTCTAATTATAATCACCAAAAATCCTGAAGAGGAGCTGTGGCTGAAGTGGTAGAGTGCCAGTCTTGAGCAAAAAAAGCTCAGGGACAACGTGCCCGGGCCTGAGTTCAAGCTCCAGAACAAGCATACGTGCGCGGACACACACACACACACACACACACACACACACACACACACACACACACACACACACACACACACACACACACACACACACTCCCCTTCTGCTACTTCACAGTCAGCACCTCAGGGACCCCGTGGAGTGATGGTTCTCGTAACACTCCACCTGCTTCTTTTCCTGTTCCCCCACCATCCACACCTCTGCCTGCCGTGTGTGTGTCCTTGGCCCTGGCTGGGACACCAGCCCTGGGCATCAGGCAGCTTGGCACCAGGGTCCCCAAATGAAAGTAGTGAATCCCCAGGACTCAGTTCTGACAGGGCGGGGAGCCAGAGCCCCAGGGCCAGATGTGGCTGGGCAGGTCATCCTGAGGCGGTGCCCCTGGGCTGGCCTCTCCTCACATCCTCACAGGCTTGTCCCCTCCATGTCTGTCTCCCCTCAGATGGGATTAAGAACCCTCTAGTGACCTTATGTAACTGTATTCTCCTCTACAAAGGTCCTGTCCCCTAGAGCCCCACCAGGGACACAGGATGTGGGTGATATCATCCTTCCTTTTCCCATGAGATGCCTGTCTTTGGTGCCTTTGGTCCCCACGGGCTGTGTGGTGAGTGATGACCCACCTATGTGAGTCTCTGACAGAGATGAGGGTCCGTAGGGCTGTTCATGAGCAGCCAGGGCCATGGAGACACTGGAGAAGGATGGGGTGGGGAATGTGACAGACCCCACCAGGTTGGTGTCTCAGGACTGGGCAGCTGACAGAACTTCCCCAGTCCTGGACCCACATGTGAAGGTACAGCTGCTCGCCCCCTGGCAGCATAAGCAGAAGGTGACTCTGCTGCCCCACCCCTGGGTAAATATTGGGCCTTGGGCTAAGGCAGGAAGACAGGGACCTTTCTAGGGTCACTCTTTCACCCAGTGATTCCCTTCCAAGATTCATCGTAGTTGGAGGTCTTGCCGGTTTGATAGAGCCCGGCTGGGGATTTGGGGTTCCAGCAGGGGCCTTGTGCTCCTCTGGGGTTTGAGTCTGTTCTGGGAACCTCCTTAACTCATCCCTTTCAGCATCAATTTCTCATATGGGGAAATGAGAAAAAACCAAGGCAGCCTTCACTGTTGAGTGTAGCTTGCAGGTCTGCGGCTCACTACAGCTGTGCACATGACAGTTGAGGTGAACAGGGTACTGGCAGGAAATAGCTAGAAGGGCTGGGTTGGGATTGTCATACCCTGGCTGTTTGTCTGTGTCAATCCTGGGGCTTCAGCTCAGGGCCTGAAGGTGCTGCCCAGGTGCCTCTTCAGCTCAAGGCTAGTGCTCTACCACTTGAGCCGCAGCACCACTTAGGGCTTTTTCGGGCATAAGAGTCTCACGGACTTTCCTGCTATCCTCAGATCTCAGCCTCTTGAGTAGCTGGGATTATAGGCATGAGCCACCAGTGCCCAGCTTTCAAGACTCTGTGTGTGTGTGTGTGTGTGTGTGTGTGTGTGTGTGTGTGTGTGTCCAGGTACTGGGACTTGAACTCAGAGCCTAAGTCCTGTCCCTAAGCTTTTTTTGCTCAAACCTGGCATATTACCACTTGACCCACAGTTCCACTTCTGGCTTTTTGTAGTTAATTGGAGATGAGTTGCATGGACTTTCCTGCCCTAGCTGGCTTGAAATCATGATCCTCAGACCTCAGTTTTGTGAGCAGCTAGGATTACAGGTGTGAGCCACCAGTGCCTGGTCAGGATTCTTGTAGCACAAGAGTACAGATGAACTCACTAAAGAGTATGTTGAAAATGAACTATACAGGGGCTGGGAAGGTGGCTCAGTGGTAGAGCGCATGCCTTGCATGCATGAGGCCCTGGGTTCGATTCCTCAGCACCACATAACCCGAAAAAAAAAAAAAGCCAGAAGTGGTGCTGTGGCTCAAGTGGTAGAACATTAGCCTTGAGCTGAAGAGCTGAGGGACAGTGCCCAGGCCCAGAGTTCAGGCCTGACAAAAAAAGAAAAGAAAATGACCTATACAACTGAGTGTGGGGATGGGAGAGAAAAACTGGGAGACAGCGAGGGAAGGGGTGACACTGTCCAAAAAGAAATGTACTCACTACTTGACTTATATAAATGTAACCCCTCTGTGTATCACTTTTATAGTAACAATTAGAAAAACACCAGCCAGCTGTACACAGTGGCTCAGGCCTATAATTCTAGCTACTCAGGAGGCTGAGATCTGAGGATTGTGGTTCAAAGCCAACTGGGGCAGGAAAGTCCGTGAAACTCTTATCTCCAATTAACCACCAGAAAACTGGAAGTGGCGCTGTGGCTCAGGTGGTAGAGCATTCCCTTGAGCTGACGAGCTGAGAGACATCGCCCAGGCCCAGAGTTCAAGACCCATGACAAAACAAACAAACAAACAAAAACACCAACCAAGCAACCCAGAGTATAAAGCCTGCCACCATCTTGCCCCTGGATCCTGCTCTAGACATCTGACCCCAGCAGGGGATTCCACCAGATGGAAGGAGCCGGAACTTCTGGGCTCAGTTTTTTTTTTTTCTTTTTGTCAGTTATGGGGCTCGAACTCTGTCCCTGTGTTCTTCAGCTCAAGGTGAATGCTCTTCTGCTTGTGCCACAGTGCCACTTCCGTTTTTCTGGTGGTTAATTGGAGATAAAAGTCTCATAGACTTTCCTGCCCAGGCTGGCTTCGAACCTCAATCCTCAGATCTCAGCCTCCTGAGTAGCTAGGATGACAGGCACTGTAATGAGATTAGAACCACTGGCACCCAGCTCAGTTCTTGCAGGATGGGACCCTTGCCTCAGAGGTTCCTGCTGGGCTCAGCGCTCCACCCCGTGCCAGGCTGTGTGTAGGCAGGACCCGCACTTGCTGTATCTTTATTAACACTTGTACCATACTGAAAACAATCCACAGAAACGTTGCAAGGTTGGCCTATAGCAGCTGGGGCCTGTGAGCCGTGGGCAACACAGCTACACCAACTGTCCCATCGAAGCCCAGGGTGGACAGCGGCCCCTGCCCACAGTGAAGGTCCAGCCACTGCCAAGCAGTGGACAAGTACATAAACTAGTCATTGAACCCCCACCCCCAAAAGCCACACTCAGGAGCCTGTCTGTCCACTCACAGGCCATTAGGTTGGGCCCAGATCCCCCTCCATCGCAGCGGGGCTCTGCAGCCTGAGGTCAGAGGCCCCCGGAAGGAGCAGAGTTTTCTTTTTCCACTGAAGTTCAGAGTTCAAGAGTGAGCCAAGGAGATGGGGTCCCGTAGGAGCTATTCTGCACCCTCGTTTAATCCCGGACGCAATGTGTGGTCTGTGTGGGTGGCTGTCCATTGTGTCGTGTACACCTTATATAAATACAAAACAGTGGGCAAAGGTGTGGTGTCCTTATTCAAAAGAACACGGTGTCTCTGCTGCAGCCACTGGGTTGCGAGTTGCAGGCGACTCCTCCAGTCTCTGCTGCAGACACTTGGAAGGTCCAGGCCTCCGGGGTCACAGTTCACCCACGTGGCGTGGAGACAACCCCAGGCTGCCTCTGAATTCCTGCGTGGCCGCGCCCTTCTCCTTCCTCGAGGTCATTGCAGGCGGGCACAGGTCACTACCTCTCGGTGGTGGCTCTGTGCTCGACACCCAGATCATCCTCCACCACGCTGCCCAGCCCCTGCTTGTCCACGCAGTTCCGCACGGCCTGCAGTGCAATGCGGAGCCGCCGGTCCAGGGCATCCAGGTGCAGCCGGTACAGCACAGGGGCCACCCGGTCCCTCCGCAGGGACTCGGCCATCAGCACGCTCAGCTTGTGCTCCTCCTTGGCCAGCAGCTGCAGCCGCAGGTAGGTGGACTTCCGGATCCTGGGGACGAAAGAGAGGGTTGGAGGTGCTGGCCACGGGAAGACAGTGCTCAAGGCAGGCTGGCACCTTGGCTGGCGTAGGGGAGAAGGGAGGAGACAGAGAGAGACAGAGACAAAAGCAGATAGATAGGAGAGACAGAGAGAGAGTGTGCAAACAAGCGAGTGAGCAAGGGGAGAGAGGGATTGAGGGAGAGGGAGAGGCCCAAGCTCGAAGGCCTCAGGCCGGCTGTGTTCTAGTGTTGGTTCTACCTTGCACATGTGCAGGGCCTGGTGGCAGAGCTGGTGCCCTCCCCAGGGTGGACCCAGGGGACAGATATAGGCAGGTGGTGGGCAGCTCATCAAGGGACTGTCCCTAACTCAGCTTGGTGGTCTGTCTGGACAGGTGGACTCTGATTTCTCATTCAAACCATTTTCCCCCCCACAAGCCTGTGTCCCAGCCATGAGAGCCCTGCTGGCTGGCCCCACAACCTCACAGGGAACGAGAGGAGCCTGCCTGTGATGGCTGGGGGAGAGGGAGAGGTCACTGGCAGTGGGAATGGGAGTGCGATTTGGGGCTGTGGATCTCCCCGCCCCGCTCCAGCAATGGCCGGGCTGCTGGTGGCTGCCATACCTGCAGCACTGCTGTAAAGGCGCCAGGATGGAAAGTTCATCGTGAGAATACTTCCCAAACCTGTGGAAGGAAGGAAGGAAGAGCCTGAAGATTGACTGGGGAGCAGGGTTAGGGGGGGTGGGAATAGCAGCCTTTAGCCTCAGTTTCAGTTTCCCTACGCAAACAAAACGTGCTTCCTCGGGGGACTGACTATCAGAGACCCTGCAGCTAGTGGGCCATTCCCCCCTCCCTGTGCCCGTGTCCCTGGCTTTCCCAGTGAGAGGGGCCATCCTTCCCCACCGGGGCCTGCTCTCTCCGGGGCTGGGCTGGACCCCGCGGGCAAGTAAGGTGGGCAGGTGTTGTTTTCAGGGTGGAGGTCTCACCCTCGCCCATTGTCCAGATGAATGATGAAAGTCTCATTTCCAAACTTCTCAAAGGTCTCGTAGTGGTGACGGTCCATGTTCCCTAGAGGGACAAAGAGTGCTCAGAGGCCTCTGTCCCTTCTCCTCCCCCACCCCCCACATGCACCATGCAGCCTCAGGTCCCACACAACCCAGCAGCAGTGGCTCAGCCCCACCCCTCCTCAAGCCCCTAGGATCCCCACTCAGTCAGTGCTGGGTGGGCGGGACCGAGCCTGGGCCCTGCCTTCCCATTGGCCAGCACACCCTGAGGGACATACCCATGAGGAAGTCAAAAATGGTCATGTCTATGATGTCCAGGATGCGGTGGCCGCTGTCATAGGGTGGAGTCTGCTTCACCTCCTCGCAGTAATCGGGGTCCACTTCCCACCTGCAGAGAGCCAGCGTGAGGCCTGGGCCCCTCTTCTGAGCAGATAAAGGGGCCTACATCCGGAGGGCATGGAGCTATTGGGGTGACACTGGGCAAAGACAGGAGCTGATCCCTGAGACTGAGTGTTTGCAGAGGACCAGCCCTGGCCACAGGGCATTGGTAAAAGTGTGGGGCTGAGAGAGGACAAATGGAACATGGCACTGAGGGGCTGTATTCAGAAGGGACCCCAATGGAGGGCAGGCTAAGCACTTCTAAGGGGCTTTTATGGGGGAGGCGAGGGTGGGGGGCTTGAACTCAGAGCCTGGGAGCTGTCCCTGAGCTCTTTTGCTCAAGGCTAGCGCTGTACCATTTTGAGCCAGAGCGCCACTTCCTATTTTCTGGTGGTCAATTGGGGATAAGAGTCTCACGGACTTTCCTGCCCAGGCTGGCTTTGAACCGCAGCCTCCCGAGTAGCTAGGATGACAGGCGTGAGCCACCGGTGCAGGGCTACTTCTAGGGGTTTCTAATTCTCAGATTAGAGTCCTGCTGGCCAGCCAATAGATCAGCCATTGTTGTCACACACATGCTTGGTTTGCACATGGCCCTCCCCGGGATAAGGATAATGTGACTCCCTCCTTGGGCTGTGGGGTACCAAGATCCTCCAGACTCTCTGTTCCGCTGCAGCCTGGGTCCTGACACTCACTCGGCCTTCTTGCGTTTGTGGTAGGAGCGGCGCCAAGGGTTCCGCCATGTCTTCCGCTTGGCCAGGGACAGGTCTGGAAGGAACGCAGCCAGGGACCCCTCTATCTGGTCCGGCCTCCCGCACAGGGCATGCTCCGTCGAGCAGTAGTACGAGCATTCTCCGTAGAAGCAGATGTTGTTGGCTGATGGAGAGACAAAGACAGTCACCTGCAACTCCTCCTTCAGTGTGGTCCCATGGGGACTAATGTCCCAGCCGGCTTTGTCCCATGTGCCATCCCATGGCCTTCTCAGGGTTTTGCGTGGCTTTGCCTGGGCAGGAATCATCACCATCCTCACCTCAACAGTCACCTCTGGAGGGCTGGGAAGGTGGCTCAGTGGTAGAGCGCTTGCCTTGCATGCCTGAGGCCCTGGGTTCGATTCCTCAGCACCACATAAGCAAAAAGAAAAAAAGCCGGAAGTGGCGCTGTGGCTCAAGTGGTAGAGTGCTAGCCTTGAGTTGAAGAGCTGAGGGACAGCGCCCAGGCCCAGAGTTCAGGCCCCAGGACCGGACCCAAAAACAAACAAACAAACAAAAAAAAAAAAACCAGTCACCTCTGGCCCTGCAGATCGAACCTCTAGAGCCACAGGGCTCGGGGTCAGAGCTAGGATCCAACTGATTTCTTCACTCTCAGAACAAGCAATGTTCAAAAGCATCCCCTCAGCCGGGCACTGGCCTCTCATGCCTGTCATCCTAGCTACTCAGGAGGCTGAGATCTGAGGATCGCAGTTCAAAGCCAGCCTGGGCAGGAAAGTCCATGAGGCTCTTATCTCCAACTTAACCACCAGAAAACCAGAAGTGGTGCTGTGGCTCAAGTGGTAGTGCGCTATCCTTGAGCTGAAGAGTTCAGGGACAGCACCTAGGCCCAGAGTTCAAGTCCCATGACTGACAAAAAAAAAAAAGACCTAAAAAAAAGCACCCCTTCACCCCCAAAACGATTCACATCACAAAGAAAGTCAAGAAATACTTCACAGAACAGGAGGAACTATTTTTGCAAAGAACTATTTTTGCAAACTATTTTTTGCAAAAACTATTTTTGGCAAGGATCTTCTAATATTTAGAATATGTGAAACACTTTTGGATCAAGCATGGTGGTGCACCCCTATAACCCCAGCTCCTTGGGAGGATCTTGGTACACAGATACTGCGTGAGACTACCTACAGAACAAACTAAAAGCAAAGGGGTTGGGGAATGGCTCAAGAGGTAGAATGCCTGCCAACAAGTTCAAGGCTTTGAGATCAATCCTTAGTTACAGCCACATGTGTGCGCGCGCACCACAGTGAAAGAAAGAATGCTTAAAACTCAGTAACAAAAAAAGACAACCTATCTAATATATGGGCAAATGACTTAGATGGAAGTGGAGGGATATATCTTCTATTTCTGTGTTGATCTTAGGACTTGAACTCAGGACCTGGACACTGTCCCTGAGCTTCTTTTGATTTAAGGCTAGAATTCTACTGTTTGAACCACAGCTCCACTTCTGGCTTTTTTGGTGATAAGAGTCTCACAGATATTCTTGCCTGGGCTGGCTCTGAACTGCAATCCTCAGATCTCAGCTTCCTGAGTAGTGAGGATGATAGGTGTGAGCCACGGGCACCTACTTCTATCTTCTTCTTGAAGAAGAAACACAATGGTCCAGAAGCTCATGGCAAGACCACTGGTTATCTAGGCATCACAATCACCATAGGACCCTAGCCATTCCCCTACCTGGGTACTCACCAAAGAGAAGAAGGAAATGTATTTCTGCTAAGAAGCTTAAGAATGCCCAAGGCAGCGGTGATAACACAACTAACAAATGCCCACCAGCTGGTGGTGGAGAGCCACACTCAAGTTTTCATATGGTGAAATATTACTTGCTACGGAAAAGGGATGCAGCTCAGATACAAGCTGTAGCTTAGATGAGCCGCTACGGACCTCATGCTCAGTGAGAGAAGGCAGGGTAAATCACGAGCATGTCTTCACTTATACAAACCATCCTGGAGCAGGTAAATTCCACAGGGATGGCACCCCAGGGCTGCTCAGGGCTGGGGGAAAACATTGGGGCTCTGTGACAGGTGTGGGGGTTTGGTTCTAGATTTGGTCCAGCAGGATGTCTGGATTTTTGAGGATTCAGATTTGAGCACATCGAGAATCTGCTGGAACTACTCGATCCCATGCTTTAAAACGTTACGTTCTATGCCATGTGAATTATAGCTTATTTTTTAAAAAATATTGTTTAGAATCTACAAGTTCCTGGCTACCTATTAACTACCTTCATTCAAGGGTTTAGCCCTTCCCCATTGCAGGGGTGGGGGGAAGGCTGGGTGGTCATCTGATCGGATCACAGCCCCACGGATGGTGTATGGGCCTATTTATTTACAGATCCAAGCTACCTTTTCATACTCTCCTTTATTTGCCTGACAAGGAGACCCTTGCAAACCTGGGGCTATAGAAGTTCATGTGACTTCTTCCCTGAGTCGTATGTCCAGGTCCTGTGGGCTCCTATGGATGCCAGCATAGCTCTGCCAGGCACATCCATGGGGCAGGAGGGGCTGGGGTGGCTGTCTGTGTCACCGATCTGCAAGCTGAAGCCTTGGATGAAGAGGTACCCGCATGGCCCACCTTGCCCTGGGTGTAGCAAGTCAGGACCAGCTCTGTGCACGGCCTCCTGCCTCTCCCTGCCCTCCCCAGGCCTCAGCACTTCAGAACCAGGGCTGGATAATTATGGTGGTAGGAAGGATCTGAGAGAGATCAGCCTGTGTGGCCCCACGGGCTGATAGCGTTTAATCAGCAACCCGGAGGTTTGAAAAAAAAAGAAAAAAAATCCCAGGCTCAGCCCAGGCAGCAGCTCTATTTTCATCTCTATCTCATCTCTCACTGGCCAGAGCCACGAGACTGGACGGCTCTGTCAGGCTTCCTGTCGTGCCTTCGCTGGGTTTAGATGCTATCATGTTGAAAGGGGAAAAAATAGCATTTCACAGCTCCAATCCCTTCCTCTCCAGATCCAAAGCTGGTTTTAAAGCTGCACTCGGAGTGGAGAGGCGGGGCTTGAGAGTGGGGTGGGGTAGGGGTCCCTCACCCGCTGTGTGACCTGGGGTGAGACAAACACCTTTCTGTGCTCAGCTCACCTGTCCAGCCAGGATGGAGCAAGGCTCTATGTCCATCTCTTCCCAGGACCCAAAGACAGAGCCAGTGAGCGCCCTGGTGGCCAGGGAGCAGTGATTTCACAACTTTCTTCAGAAATCCTCAGGCCCCTGATCCCAGAGACCTTGAGCACCCAGAAAGGGCTGTGCGAATGTCCCAGAGTCCACTCAGTGGTCATCAAGGAGGATGCCTGTCCCTTTTGCCCACCCTGGAAATACAGGCTTCCTGGAAAAGCTGTGACACTGGTCAGTTCACTTCAGTCAGAGTGGCATCCTGGCCACCACCAGCAGAGGACCCCACGGGACCTTCTTTTCCTCTGCACGCATTTGAACTGGACACAATGCAGATGGCCTGAATGACCCTGAGGCAGGAAAAGGAGTTTGCAACAGATAGCACTGGGCAGAACCCGTCAGTGCCGTGTGGGGCTGGGGGAGGGCTGTCCAGAAGGGTGTCTGGCTTTGGAGAAGCCGCATTGGCCTGTCCACCCCATAGAAGGGCACAGGCTGGCCCTGGTGACCAGGGTGAATGTCACAGGTCTGGAAAAATTCAGAGTAAGGCTGGGGGCAGCGTTCAAATGGTAAAGCACCTGCCTAGCAAGTGTGAGGTCTTGAGTTCAAGCCCTAGTATAGAGAAGAAGGAGGAGGAAGAGAAAGAGGAGGAGGAAGAGGAAGAGGAGGAGGAAGAGGAAGAGGAGGAGGAGGAGAAAGAGGAAGAGGAAGAGGAAGAGGAGGAGGAGGAAGAAGAGGAAGAGGAAGAAGAGGAAGAAGAGGAAGAAGAGGAGGAAGAGGAGGAGGAGGAGGAGGAGGAGGAGAGGACTTGGGCCAGCCTGGACTTGCAGAAGGGCCCTGGAAAATGGAGGCTGCTGCCCTGCTCAGCCCCGGCTCTCCCCTGCAGGACAGGGTTTTCTATCTGACCTACGTACACAGGGCAGAGCTACTCAGGGGCAGAAACAATCAAAACTTTCCCCGAACTTGGCTTCTGCAAGGCAACAAAGACAAATCTGGCATTAAAGAGAGAGAGAGAGAGAAAGTTCTAGAAGTACAAGCTAAGCAAAAAAAAAAAAATCAGATGAATTCAAACAGGCTTCATTTTCTAAAACAAGATCAAAGCTGCTTCCCGAGACCCCACACTTTGGAGAAACCAGACATTCATTCCCAAGGGCTTTTAGGGGGAAAAATCTTGCTGACAGAGCCTCACGGCCAGAAGGCGGGGATTGCCTGGCAGAGAGAGAGAGAGAGAGAGAGAGAGAGAGAGAGAGAGAGAGAGAGAGTGCCCTGGGTACTGGGGTTTGAACTCGGGGCTTGAACTCAGGGTCTGAGTGCTGTCCCTTAGCTTTTATACTCAAGGCTAGTTGCTCTACCTCTTGAGATAAACCTCCACTTTTTTTTTTCTAGGTATCTGGAGATAAGAGTCTCTGCCCAGGTTGGCTTTGAACCATGATCCTCAGATCTCAGCTTCTTAACTAGTTAGGATTATAGGCATAAGCTATTGGTGCCTGGTGGGAACTATAAAAATTTATCTGCTTAGACTCTTAGCTTTTTTTTTTTTTTTTTTTAATAAAAACAACAATAACAACAAACTAACAGCCGGGCACCGGGTGTGGCTCAAGCCTGTAATCCTAGCTACTAGGGAAGCAAAGATACAAGGATCTTGGTTCAAGGACAGCCTGGGCATAAAAGTCAAGAGACTCCATCTCAATTAATGGCTGGGCCTGATAGTGTGTACCTGTTACCCCAGCTACCAAGGAAGCACAATGGTTGGGTACAGTGGTGTGTGTCTGTCACAGCCCAGGATAGCCTGAGCATAAATTGATGTCCTTACCTTAAAAATAACCAATGAAGAAAGGGGTTGAAGGCGTAGCTTGAGCAGTAGAACCCCTGCCTAGAAATCACAAGGTCCTGAATTCAAACCTTAGTATCCCTGTCTTCTAATATCCACTCCCCCCAAAAACCCTACCTAAGACCCAATAGATACATGCCACTCAGCTATGATGATGCCCATGGCTTGTCCACAGCTGGACAGAGAGGTCGGTCAGCCCCTTGGGCAGTGAGGGCAGGAAGTAGGGGTTGGGTGATGGAGAGGCTGGGATTTGAGGCTGGAGGAGGGAATGTTGGGGCTGAAGTCCCAGCAGCTGAAGGGGACAGGAGCCCAGATGCCAGGAGTCCATCATAAAGCTCTGGGTGCAGCCCTTTTGGAAGGAACCCTACTAACAGTGAATGCCTGGGACTATGATACCTGTGAGCAATCCTCTCCTGGTCCTGGGGTAACACCAGGCACAGTGCACCCCAAGATCTTCCCAATAGAAGATCTTCATTTAGGAGATCATTTTTCCTTTCTTTCCTTTTTTTCTTTTTCTTAAAAAAAAAAACACTTTTCTCTTATTAATGAGAATCTGAGGAAGAGGCCATGCAAGAGTCAGAGCTGGGTGAGTTTAGACAGAAGTGGCACTTAATTAAAGTATGCATTTATAAACCTCGATTCTGACAAATCTATTGTTGCAGTTAAGAAAAAATACAGAGTGGCAAGACCCTGGTGGCTCACACACATCATCCTACCTACCCAGGAGGCCGAGGTCTGAGGATCATGGTTTGAAGCCAGACTGGGCAGGAAAGTCTATGAGACACTTAGCTCCAGTTAATCACCAAAATGCCAGAAGTGGAGATGTGGCTCAAGTGGTAGAAGTGCTAGTCTAAAGCAAAAAAAGCCCAGGGATGGTACAACACCCAGGCCCTGAGATCAAGCACCAGTACCAGTCAGCAAGAAAGTCAGCAAGCAAGAAAGGAAGGAAGGAAGGAAGGAAGGAAGGAAGGAAGGAAGGAAAGAAGGAAAGTGTGGAATGTATCTCAAACATCTATGAGAAGTGAGCTTTTATATTGGGCTTTTATGTGCCAGCAAATTCTTAAGACCCAGCTGACAGAGGGTCTTATAAATAAATGGGATTTATCTGCAGGAGTGGCAGGGCTTGGTGGTGCTGGGGAGGCCTGTGTTGGGAGCAGGTAGCCTCCAGGCAATCCAGTTCCACACAACACGTCACGAACTCTGCTTTGCCTGTATCACTTGACCAATCAAAACCTTTGAGAAGGGTCCACACCTGGAAGGGGCTCACAGGAATGAGCTCAGCTCAGAAGAGTTCAGAGAATCAGTGGGTCAACAGGGCCAGGGCAAAGCACGTGGGCACAGCACAAGAATATAACTTGGTTCTGTGTGATTTGGGGCGTTCACAAGGTAAGGCCTCAAGGGCTTGGACACTTGTCCATCTCAGCCATGCACATCTTCCCAAGAGGCAGGTCATCCTGGGTGACCTCAGGGATTGGAGAAACCCCAGTTTGTGAACCATTGCTATGTCCGGGAAGGGAGGCCATCGGCCCTTTACTAGGTGAGTCCTACTGTGGGTGTTAACAGATGGCGGGGGGGGGGGGGGAGCACTATCTGGAGGCTCCCTGGAGAAGGTAGATGTTTAGGAAGTGCTGCAGCTGAGGGCTGGTGTTCATGCCTGCCTATAATCCTAGCTACTCAGGAGGCTGAGATACGAGGGTCATGGCTCATAGTCAGCTCAGAATAGAAAAATCCATGAGACTCTTATCTTGAATTAATCACCCAAGAGATAGAAGTGGAGGTATGGTTCAAATGGTAGAGCATCAGCCTTAAGCACAAAAGCCAAGCCAGAGCACAAGGCCTCAAGTTACTTGCGTGTGTGTGTGCGTGCACACATACACACACACACACACACACACACACACACATTTTTAAAATACACACGAGGTGGTGGTGGTGACATTGTCCAAATAGAAATGTACTCTTTTTTTTGGGTGGGGGGGTCTGGTCGTGGGGCCTGAACTCTGGGCCTGGGTGCTGTTCCTCAGCTCTTCAGCTCAAGGCTAGCACTCTACCACTTGAGCCATAGCGCCACTTCTAGCTTTTTTCTTTTTGCTTATGTGGTGCTGAGGAATCGAACCCAGGGCCTCATGCATGCAAGGCAAGTGCTCTACCACTGAGCCACCTTCCCAGCCTCTAGAAATGTACTCCTTAACTAACTTTGTACATCACCTTTATAATAACAATAAAAAAAAAACAGTAATCCAAAATAATACTGACCAATAAAGAAAACTCTTTGATCAAAAAAAAAAAAAAATACACAGCAGGCCAGAATGGAACCACTTCCACACCCCAAAGCAGGTAGGAGGAAACAGGGAGAATGGTGGAAAGATTTCCAACTCTTCCTTAGAAGGGACCAAGGTCACGCGACAAGGTCATGTGAGGGAAGGGCCCGCGGACACTACCTGGAGAGACAAAGAAGGTCCTCCACAGCTTCTTGTCTCGGGTGACATCCCGAATTTCCTTCGTCATATTGATCATCCTGCCAGCCACAGGAGGGACGCGGCGGAAGTCCAGGATCCTGGGGAGAAAATATCAGAGGGGGGGAAAAAAAAAGAATCTTTATTTTCCATGGCTCACGCCTGGCTGCGCTCAGCTGCAGCTAGAGAGCCGCACCCCTCCCGTCTTCATTTGGACCTGGCTTTGGGGGGTTGTGGCTCTACCTGAGTCCATTAGTACTAGAGAAAATGTACCCAGATGAAGGCACCCTCACCCCACACTTTCTGTTCTTGATGTCGGCCCTGCCAGGGCCTGGGGAACTAAAATATGCCCTCGTTCTAGGGCTAAATTTAAAATGAAATTAGATTAACCCGTCTTAATGGAGCTCTTTCTGAACGGAACTGCACACACGGCCACTTTCTTAATTAAATGGGGATGCAGAGGGGCTTTTCTGCTGACACAGGATGTCGCCATGGGCGATCATGGCTGGGCTGTGTGCAGAGGTGACCCGGGGGAGGGGCAGAAGGATGAGTCACATGCCCAGGACCTGAGTCCCCAGGACTCTGCAAGTCAGTACTGCCCAGCATCCTGCCATCTCTCCACTGAGAAGAGCCTCTGGAGTTTGCTGCTCTATTTTCTAGATGAGTTGACCCAAGGGGACAACTCAGCTAGGATGCTGTGATTGGATGGGACTGTGTGTGGTCAGCTAGGAGGGTGTCCGGAGGACCAAAGGTGGTGGCTCTGGCCATGCACGGTGGCCTCAACCCCTTGGAGCTGTCCCTGGGCTCACGAACAGCATAGAAACTGAGATGGTATCAGGCAGCTGGACATCATTGCCTTCTGCAGAATTGACACTCTGCAACTCAATTCAAATTAAGTGTCTGGGTGTGGGTAGCTCACGCCTGTAATCCTAGTTACTCAGGAGGTTGAGCGTTAGAGGATTGAAGCTCAAAAAATCAGAAAAAAAAAAAAAGTTGAGGCAGTGTAAGGCCCTGAGTTCAAATCCTGATGCTAGCTCAAAAATAATAATTTTTCACGAGCTTTACAACGTCGGTGCGGGGGGGGGGGGGCGGGGGAAGGGGGGGAAGGAGAAGGATTGGGATTGGGGGGGAGGGGGGAGGCTGGGAAGGGATGTGAAGGGTAAACCAAAGGAGGAGGCTGCAATGCTTGGTAAGAAATGTACGCATTATCCTGCCCATGTAATTGTAACCCCTCTGTACAGTATGTTCACAAATAAAATAAAATTAAATTAAAAAAATAATTTTTCACAGCAGTTGAGACTTCATCCTTTTTCCCTGCCTTCTCTCTCGCCCTCTTTTTTTTTTTTTCCTTTCCTTCTAACCACCCATCAGCTGCCGTCTGTCTGACTGGGATTATGAGGTGCCTTGAGGGCAGTGTTTACCTCTAATTAAGGACTTGGGGCTCTGGGGAAATTGTTCCCTCAGGGCCTCAGTGTTCCAGTCTGTAAGATGGGCTCGTGATGGATCTTTTCATCCATGCATCTTAAGCACAGGGCTCAGAACAGAGACCCAAGCATGGAGAACAGCGACCGTGGTGACATGGCAGTGGTGATGCCGGAGCCTGGGCCTGCTGGCTCCTTGCAGGTGTAAACCTGCAGGCCTGGTGCTGGGTGGCTCCTCTCCAGGAGGTGGATGGGAGGAGGGACTCACCTGTCCAGGTGGAAGGCTGCGATCTCTGCATTGTGTCTCTCGTAGTCTGAGAAATAGAAGAAGTCTGGTGGTGTCTCCTGCTCCCTTGTCTGCCTGGAGGAGAGGGGGCAGAGGTGGAGGGTTTTGTTACGTGGATGAACTCTGGTACAAGGACGCAGGCTGCTTTATGCTGCATGTAGTTCAGATGGGCTTCCGGGGCTGATGTACACTTCTGGAAATTCTGCTAACCAGTTCTCACAGACATTAAACATTAAATGATAGAGCCAGGCACCTAGATGGCTCACTCCTGTAACCCCAGCTACTCAGGGGGCTGAAATCTGAGGGCAGACAAATCCATGAGGCGCTTATCTCCAATTGACCAGCAAAAAGCCATTAGTGGAGCTGCGGCTCATGTGGTAGAGCACCAATCTCGAGTGAAAAAGTCAAGCCAAGGCTCTAGGTCCGGTGTGCAAGCCCCAGACAGAACCAACACAAAATAAAACATGGAATTAAATGATACAAACATACAGCGAATGCGTTGCATTTATTTTCTTGAGCTGCTGGGAATGGAACCCAGGGCTCTGCAAATTCTAGGCGAGAGCCCTGCCACTGAACCACCTCTAAATAGATTAAATTAATTACAAGTCACAAATATGCCAGGCCAATTGCTTATTAGTTGGTACATTTTACTATTATGGGATTGATAGCCTATTAACTATAGATGGAGATTCTGGTATTGAGCTAGCCTTGGCCCATGCTTAGTGACCTCCCAGAGTGGCTCAAAATCAGCTCTAGACAAAGTGTTTAAATTGTGGGGGTTGGGTAACTAAAAATCAGCACCTCAACCCCAGGGTGCTGAGTGTTAAGTATTTCTCAATCCATCAGCAGCCAGACCTATCCTCTATGGAAAGAGCAAAGGGCAGTGCTTGCCTCTGGGCCAAGAGATGTGTGGCCCTGGACAGACAGAAGTCTGGTTGCAGAGGGGTTCAGCCCCAAATCGGATCAGCTGCAGACTTCTCTGGGGTGTGTGACCTGAGGGGCCAGGGCCAGCCTCCTGACTGGAGGCCGCAGCACCCCTCTCTGAAGCTATTCTTTCATCAGGCATCTGGCACTGAAGGTGCCTCAGTTTCCCTGCTCTCCTGTCCAGCTCCTGGATTGAGTCCTGACTACCTGTGGTTTCCTGTCCCATCTCCAGGCCCTCCACCCCCTGGTTTTCCTCAAACCTTCCCTTTCCATGTGTGTGAACCCCAGGCACCACCCAGTATACGGTGTCCTCAGTAAGAGAAGTTGGGAGCTTGGCTAACAGAGCTCTCAGGATCCCCCTCCTGGAGTCTCAGCAGCGTGCAACCACTTCATAAAGGCTCTGATAAGACCTGCAGCCACCGGTGTGCCTAGCCATTCATGGACCCAGAACTAGCTTTGATAGTTACGTGTCACTGAGATCTGCACTTCGAGCAACTATGGTTTAGGGTTTAGACGACACTCATTTCCAAACCCAGCTGGAAGACAAACCCCATCACCTACCACCCCTGATGCCACAGCAGAGACACAGTACCTCCCCTTCGTCCTCCTTGGCTGGGAGCCAATGGGGATACTCGGTCACAAGCCACCTGGGGACATCTGACACACACAGAGGCAGAGCTGGGCCATCGGATGCCCCAGTGCCATGCTGACTGCACCTCCCCAGCAGTGAACACTGGTTGGTCCAGGGGCCCCTCAAAGACCCAGTGACTGGATCAAGTTCAAGGCTACCTGGGGCTGTGGGAGGGAGCCATGCCCCTAGGGGATGAGGCGTGATGTCATCACCAGGCATCTGCTCCTCTGACTCACTCTCTGCCTGCCTCTCACCATCCAGGCTGCTGGGGACCTTGCTGGCCACAGGCAGCCGGGTTCTAGAGTCCCCGTTACCAGCAGGCAGTGTCCCCTCTCCTCCAAGAGTGAGTCCAGAGAGAAGCCCCCACAGAGGATCAACAACCACCCCGGGGGTACTTCTGGAAGGAAAGAAATGCAGCCATCATAACCGACCCACATTAAAAGAGAGAGATGCCAAGGTGAGGGACTTCCTCAGAGGCCCGAGAAGTGCTGGCGGCAGAGACGGGAGGCTCTATCCATACACCTGTCCCTATTTCTACAAGTTCACCTAGCAAGCCTGTGGGCTTGGTGTGTACCATTGTTCCTGCCCTACCCTCAAGGGCCTTACAGGGCTCATGGAGGTTCTGCTGGCAGCAGGAGCTGCAGCGGGGCTTCTGGAAGATGATCCAGGTCTAGCTATAGGCCCTTCCTTTTGGAGGACAGGGTGTGGGAAGCCCTAGAGGGTTGTCAATCTGTTTCTCCTTAGGGAAACTAGGCTGCCATTGCACTGTGCTTGCATCTACATCCCCAGCTAGAGTTTGCAGGCATGGACTGGTGCTGTCCTGCCTCAGGAAGATGATTTAGTGTTGCACATAGTTATAACCCAAGGTCATGGCCTCTGCATTTCCCTCAAGGTGGAAGCCTCTTGACTTGGGGGACACTGGCATGGACCCCTGAACCCAGGGTGCAGCAGCCATGTTTGGGAGGAGTGACAGCACCTCCCATCCGTCCTCTGGCAGGGACACAGGGCCACGGCAGGTCAGGATGGCTCTGAAAGGTCAACGTTGTTCTAAGCATCGAAGTGCCAAGTATGTCAGGCCGGGGAAGACACACATGCAAAGTTAAGGTCAGCCAAGGGGGCTGCCCTGAAGCCCTGTCAGCACGCACGGGTGACCGTGACAATGTGGAAATGCAGTCTCTCATCACCTGTCTGAGAACAGCGAAGTTTCCAGCATGAAATCCAGTCCTCCCAAGTCCCTGCCTCCATCTGCCACCAGCCAGCCAGGGAGGGAACTCTGGGAGGAATTTTCCCATCAGCACTGGCTACCTGTCCAGGTGTGAAAGCACAGGCCTGGACTTCACATTGGTGCCAGGAGGAGCCCTGTGCTGCCCTGTGCTGCTCATGTGTTTGGCCTTCAGCTTCTCTGGCTGGGTCCTTCGCTCCAGGTATGCAGAGGAGAGCATCAAGCCTCTGAGTGTCCAGTACCATCCCAAGGCCAAGGTCATTGGAGGTCACTGGAGTGACATGATCTAACATGGTGCGACACTTAATAGTGGTGGAGGATGGAGTGCAGCCGCACCTCAGCTGGTGGGGGGGTCCCCCTTTCTTTAGGTGCCCCCTAAAACTGTGCTCTGTGATTCACCGAATATCACTCCAAGAATGGATTCCTCAGCTTTCCTGGGAGCAGTGTGGACAGTCGGATATATGGGGACAGGCTGTTCCCGTGACTCCGTGGACACACATCTCCCCAAGACTCTGGCTTGAAAGTGTCTTGGCCTCGTACGAGATCCCCTGTGAGGTGAGAGGCTGCTTTGGGAGCTGTTAAAGGCATAGTGCTGTCAGGTGTTGGTGGCTCCATGCCTGTAATCCTAACTACTCAAGAGGCTGAGAGCTGAGGATCGTGGTTCGAAGCCAGCCCAGGCAGGAAAGTCTGTGAGACTATTGCCAATTAGCCAGCAAAAAGCTGGAAGTGGAAGTAGGTATGGGTCATGTGGTAGAGCACCAGCCTTGAACAAAAATCTAAGGGACAGTGCCCAGGACCCGAGTTCAAGCCCTAGTACCTCCCTCTCCCTTCCAGCAGAGAAGTGTTGACTTTGAGAGAGAGATTTGGTCCTGGGGCTTGAACTCATTGCCTGGGTACTGTCCCTTAGCTTTTTACTCAAGGCTAGAGCTCTACCAATTGACCCACAGCTCCATTTTCAGCTTCTTGACTGGTTAATTGGAGATTAAGAGTCTTGTGGACTTTTCTGCCCAGGCTGGCTTCGAACTATGATTCGCAAAACTCAGCCTCCTGAATAGCTAGGATTACAAGTATGAGCCATACAGATATGAGCCACCGGCACCAGTTTTATCATGGTTTTTATATATGGGAAAGTAAATCACTGTGGCTCAAACGAAGCATGTCAGACTGCTGTCTCCAGCCCATGGCTCTGGAGCTCTGCAGGTTGAACAGTGGCCATTGTGCCCAGCTTGGAAGGAAATATTGGCTTCTCATAAAGCCAGAACACCGGTTCCACTGGATTTTGGTTGGGTTAAAGCAGAAAAAGGGATATAATTAAGACATGATTTCCGGGCTTCAAGCTTCCTTGATCCCCGTGTGGGCATGGTGCTCCCAGGACGACCTCATGCACCCAGAAGTGCTCCAATCCAAACACAGCCCTCCCAGACTCCAGCATTCTGGGATTTCCTGGTGTGCTTATTTTCTTTGGATTCCCTCATGCTGGGGCAGGCAGGGCTCCCTGGGGGCTTTGGCTTGCAACCTTAGCAAGAGCAGCTCACTTTGTCGGGATCTCTCCTGACAACTTTCTGGGATGACCAGTGGATCTCACCTCACCTGGGGCACAGGCGCTAGAAGTCTGCTTGTGTGAGCTCTGCCTACAACCTTGATTTCAAGCACTTATTCCATCCCCAGCCTAACCCAGCCCTGCCTGGGTTAACCTGGAACTTTGCATGGTGGTGGATGCATTGTTCTGCACCATGTACCCATGGTACATGCCATGAACCCAGCTTTAAGGCTTCACTTCCTAATGCCTCCCACCCCTACCATATACCTATACCTTCCTCCTGCTTCTTTAGGCCCTCTGGAGGCATCAGCTCTTTTTTAAAAAAAAAATTGTGGGAGGAATCTCTGTCCTGAATCTCAGCCCTCCAGTGAAGGAATTTACTGTCCTCATTGCTCTCTTCCTGGGCAGACAGGATCATGTCCACAGACACACAGAGAGGGCATTTCAGGGCTACTGTTTCCTCTAGGCTCTGCTAGTGACCAGCTGTGTAATGCCCCCTCCCCCACCCACCCTGAGCCCCAACCCTATGAGGGGTAGGGGCCAAAAACAGCTGCCGCTTTTGAGCAGGGGACTACTGAACAGGTGCTCAGGGTGTGTTGGAGTTAGACCCACGTGTTCAGACTCGACATCCACTGCATATTAAGGAGGCCAGGCTGCCTCTGAGTCCACACTTTTCCTGATCAAAAAGCAGCAGACGGGCTGGGAAGTTGGCTCAGCGGTAGAGTGCTTGCCTTGCATGCATGAGGCCCTAGGTTTGA